TAAATGATAAAGAAAACTTGAAGTAGCTACATAGAAGCAAAATATATGTAATATACCTTATCAAGAGAAGATACTCTGATTCGCTAAAAGAAATCATTTGAAAAGAAATTGAAGTATTTTGACCTGGTAAATTATATTCCCATTACCCTTATTTTTTTAGAAGCACAAACAAAATCCCAGGCTTGAGTCTCAAGTTTAAAAGTGGCACAGGGTGACATGCCAGCAGAAGAGGGGAAAAAAGATAGCATGTGAAACAGCTACAGTGCCTCTTGCATTATGTTAAAGAAGACATACCGAAATAGGATTGGAAACCTGGGGAAAGGTCCATGCTTGCAGGCTAAGTAGCTTTCCGTTGACAGGAATAAGATCAACCCCTTCTAAGTCTCACTACAATCCTTAGAAATCCGGGTGGGTTGCAACAAAAGCAATGTTATTAACTAACTCATAATTCATTTGGGGTTGCCTCTGTCCTTATCAGAGAAAGTGGCTTTTTTTTTCTTTCTAGTCATGCCATTGGAAAAGTAGTACCCTACTCTGATTGTCACAGAATAAAATGTTTTCAAGGCTGAAAAGAGAATTAATTCAAAGGAAGGTCAAATGTATTCGTATCACAAAGTCACACACGAGCTCTAGGTTTTCTGTTTTCTCTCTCCTGGAGCTATTATTCAAGTGAAATGTAAACACATACATGTGCCTTCATAACCCTTTCATAAAAATTAATCAAGAAAGTTGAAGTACCTAATATTTTAAAAATATATATCTGTGCATTGTGTTAAAGTTTTTCCTTTAAGAGAAAGACATCTGGAAATATTCTGTTATATTAAAACAGTGACATATAAAGAAATAAGGAAAACTGACTGTAGCACATCATAAAAAGAAGTTCTAAATTTAAATATGATTTTTATAAGTTTCTAAATCACATGTTTGGATAACCTTCAGAGGAGAAAAGGAACTGGGGTTAAAGAAAACGTCACAGAACTGAAGAGACTATAAGAACACAACCAGAAGGTTAAATTTTTTAAAGTCTCATTTTTCAGAAAGGCCCAAACTGGAAGTCGTATTTATCAAATCCATTATTCTCTGTCATTCAGCTGGTAGCACATAAAATCACCCTCACTATATTTTGTTTGGGAAAGTTGTAAGGTTTAATGTATGTTCAGACAGAGAAATTAGAAATACAATGAAATATTTTTGATTACAGACAGGCTTTTTAATGGGAGAGGCCCCAGGATGAGATTCATTCCTTAGAATACAGGCTGTTACCGCTGCTCCTTATTCAGAGTTGTAATTATATTTTTTCTGATCCATTATATCAAGTCTTAATATAACCTATTCTCTCATGTCTACCACATTACCTCATTGAATTTTATTTAATATTTCTTTCAGCCACTTAATGAATGAACCTTTTATATTCATTATTATGGTGGTTATAATAACCATTATTACTATTCTTTCCCGTGACATTATATATTTTAGGAAAGTGCTCTTATCACATGAATTATTTTTATGGTTCTTTTTTATAGTAGCATAAATGTCACAATGGTTTTCTTTGCCATTGAAACTCTCACAGAGAAGAATGACTTCCATTTGTCAACATCTAACCAAGAAAACTATTTGCATTCACCTAAAACAGTACCTTTAAAAAATTCCAGTGTACATCCCACATCAATTTAATCAAACCTACAAATGAAGTTATTTTTGCTATGAAAAGTTGCCCGTATTTTCTATGATTGTTTTTCTTTCTTTTTTAAAAGATAATTTTATCGGGGGGCTCTTACAGCTCTTATAACATTCCATACATCAATTATACCAAGCATATTTGTACATATGTTGCCATCATCATTTTCTAGACATTGACTTTCTATTTGAGCCCTTGGCATCAGCTCTACTTTATTCCTCCCCCCACCCTCGTGACCCCTTGATGAATTATGTTATTATTGTTTTCATATCTTACGCCAATCGCTGTCTCCTTTTACTCCTTTACTCACCTTTCTGTTGCTCATCCCCCTGGTGCGGGTGCGGGTGTGGGTGGGACGTGCTATGCATCAATCATTGCTATCGGTTCCCCTTTCCTCCCCTCCTCCCCCCTTCTCTATGATTTTTTAATGTACTATTGAATCTAGGTCAGCTGCTTCCATTGGAAAAGTTAACTTTACCGACTCAAGCACTGAAGATGCTATTTAAAAGAGGTCGGGTGGCGCAGACAAGATACTGAGAATTTTAAAACCCTTTGTCATGGAGTTGATTCTGACTTATGGCGAACCTGTTTGTGTTTGTGTAGAACTGGGTGTCCCACAAGGTTTTCAATCACTACTTTTTTTGGAAATAGAGCACAACCCTTTACTCAAAGAATCCTCCGAGTGGATTTGAATCGCCAACGATGCCGTTGGCAGCCAAGCACATTCACCATTTGAGCCACACCCAGTACCAATATATTACCCACAGTTCATGGAAATACCAACAAACTCAATAAATATGGGAAAAGGTTTGGGGAGTGTTATAGGTAGAAAATTGTAACCAGTAGCCTGTTGTCTGCAAAATATGTAAATAAATGCGGAATCTTGAGCAACAAAATTCGAGCTGAATTAAAAAAAACGAAAGTAAAATTCCAACCTCCTGAAATTTGCTAAGCCCTTCAAATGATGACCAGTCCAACTGCCTGGAGGTCATTGCGTGTTGGCTTTGTCGTTACTTGTCATGGAGTGGAACTGAACTCCCAGTAGCCCCGTGCGTTAGAGAGTAAGTATCAGGCCTCCACGTGGTTTTCTTTACTGTACTATGAACAACCAATTGCCAGACCTTTCTTAACTGTCAGCCTACAGGTTAGGAGTTGAGCACAAACCATTTCCACCACTTCCAAAATTGTTTAACCGCAGCATACAACAGGTAATAAGTCTTGTACCCAGTTTTCATTATGAAGTATATTAAAATTTCTTCCCCCCCCACCCCAGAAATGCTTATAATCTTGATAAGTACTCCTATCATGGGAACGCACACAGTCTCCAGTGTGGGAGTACTTGAGATCGTTCCAAAATTCCAAAATTCTTCATGAATGGATGTCCTCTGTACACTACTTACAATAAAAATTGTAAAACCACCTCCCAAAATTAGTCTTGGTATGATTGCACTGCCCCCTAGTGTTAAGAAAATGTGTTTACACTGCTCTTCTTGCTTTTTTTAGATCAGCATTTTCATGACCCATCTGTCCAACTATGGGAACGATCGGCTGGGTTTGTACACGTTTGTTAATCTGGCCAACTTCGTGCAGAAATGGACCAACCTTCACCTTCAGACTCTGCCTCCCCTGCAGCTGGCTCACAAATATTTTGAGCTCTTCCCTGAACAAAAAGACCCCCTCTGGCAGGTAAGACTGGATCAATAATTTGGTATAAATAATTAATCCTACAACTATAGCTTGTGGTTCTGTAAGATCATCCAAATCAGAAAAACAAAGGCATCCTTTTCCTAATGTACATTTGGGACACGGATAGATTTGAGAAATTACTTCTTAGTTTAGTGCAGTCTTAACTAAGTCATATTCAGCCAGTGTCTGTTCCCAGGCCCATTAGAAAGTACAGAATTTTGAACGCTCAATGAGGGATTCCCAAAGGCATGGTGCGTTCCATCAGGAGTGGAAGATGGATATGCGGACTGTACTGGGCGGAGAAATTAGAAGACAATCAGCTGGGTGTGGCTTAAGCCGTGAGCAGGTCCCACATCTTTAATGCCTAAATGAAATTAGAGGCAAGAGTGAGAACTGACAGCTAAGTTTCGAAAACCACAAGAGTAGAAGAACATGGTCATCTGTCAAAAGCACCAGATGGGGATGAGTTTGAACACAGAGGAGTGTTGATGGTGAAAAGACTGTTTCATAAAGTACAAATATCACAGACAAGGTTTAGTCAGAGGATTCTAAGATAGATGCTTAGGTGACCTAGAGGTTCAAGAACATCCTTTGAACTATTTCCGACGCCATGATGTAGGGCAGCAACAGTCTTAGTCAATACTTGCGTAGTGTTTACCCGGTGTCAGACTGGCCACTCTCCATGTGTTAATCCGTTGAGTCCTCACACCTAGCCTGTGGAAAATTCCGTTATTGTTCCCATTGTACAGATGGAGGAGATGAGCACTGGCACAAGGTCCCAGAGCTAGGGTGTCATAAAAGTGGTAGTCAACTCCAGCCTGACAGGCTCCAGAGGCTCTGCTCTTAATTCACCACAGTACAAAATGCCACAGGCGAGTCACTGATGGAGTTGGTGCTAAAATAGTAATAATCTCCAGGAGACCCGGTAAATGCAATAGCTTGAGGTTGCAGTAAACTCTGAACTCTCTACCCACTTCACCTTGAAGCTGTGAGCTAATTACCCCAAGGAGGGAAATCATTGCACATTTTAGCAAAGGCAGTGATTGTGAACGGTGTATTACTTGTCTTCATCTTATGCACTGAGAACACCACCCATGTTCACCTCTAGACTCTAGAGTCCAGAAAGTCACACAGTTACCGACAATTAAACACTCTCGTTTTAAACTGAAATCATTATCATTTCAGGTGACAGGTTGAAACCAATTTCCCCCCAGAACAGCCAAAAAGAACACACTTGCATCATTCTTCACATTTGTTATTAATTACAAATTAGCAGAAGGTTTATTTACCTACATGTATTAATTGAGTGGAAGTAGACCACTCCTTGTGACCACTCCTGAAAATAACAGCAAAGTGTACTGCAATCCTCCCCTCTTTTCTATGTCACATGCACTTGGCAGTGAGAGCTCCAGGGTGTTCCTTAGATACACTTTGCACAAGGTAGGTCAGTGTGAGTGCTACAGAGATCAAAAGCTGAATCCCTAAGGTAAGAATTCACCATTTTGCCCTTTTGCTAAAATTTGGTACTTTTTAACATCACAGCCTGTAAAGTTACATTTTTAGATATGCATTACTGACCTTTGAAGGCAGCTGAAAGGAATCCACTGTCTCTTTAAACAGTATTATTATGTCCAGCTCTATATCCCTTTGCAGCCCAGCAGGGAAGCTCAGCGTTACATAGAATAAAAATTTGACACCTTGGATTTCATTTATTTATTGAATGCTGACAATGCATCTTCTTTCAGATTGGGGGTGGGGAAAGCGGGTCTCTGCCCAGCAAGCTCCCTATTTAAAAAAAATTTAAATAGAAATAAGACGCATAGAATTACTAATAACACCAACAAAAAGTAAAAGTCTCAGTGGCTGGAGGCAATTTACTTGTAGTAGAAACAGCGTCCCACCCCCATCTCCTCACTAGACTCTCAACTTCAGATTGGGAAGGGACTGTTTGAAAGAGTCTTTGATGCCATACGAAGGCTTTCATTTTGTTAAAGGAGTCAGGCAGCCTTGTTTCCTGGAATACCTTTTATGGGCAGATGTTGAAAGGCTATAAGACACAATGGACACACACACATTCCCCCCAAAAAATCTCTGTATTCTCGTCCCATTTAGAATCCCTGTGATGACAAACGCCACAGAGATATTTGGTCTAAGGAGAAAACCTGTGATCGCTTGCCAAAATTCTTGGTGGTAGGACCTCAGAAGACAGGTGAGAGCTTTTTCAATGACGATGTGCGTGTAACCAGCCGAGCGACTAAAACCTGGGTTCTTACTCCCACGAGTTTGTGCCTATTCCAGAAAGGCGGAGGAACAACACGGGGTGTCCTGACCAGTGTTTGTTTTGCTTAGCCACGTACCTGAGCATTGGTCAGAGTGCTTTTTTTGTTTTTAATGAAGAGAAGAGGTTGAAAACAGATGTTAGAAAGTTTGACAATCCCATAGGAAACCCTGGGAGAAATGTTATTTTTATTCTAAAGATCCTCATGAAAAAGTGTTGTTGTTAACATTCCTAAAATCAAAACTAATCAAGTGGCTAGAGAATAGCTGGCAAGATTTCGTCAGAAGTCAAGAGGGGCGCATATAAATACCTACTATTTTATTTCAAAACCTCTTCCAGAAAAAAAAGGGCGGGGGTGGCTCTTAGGCTGCCATCTTCCCGACACAGTTTATTTCTAAACAGTTTCTTGCCGAGAGGACCATTTTTCTTAACAGTCTAAAACATGTCTGACAAGCAGAAGTCCCAGACATAAACAAAACTTTGTGCTAAGAAAGGTATTTATCTATACCCAGGAGAAATCTTCCACACACTTTTCTTAAATTGGTGTGCAATTTTTCCCCCATAAACTTCTTGTTTCTATAAGAATCAGTATTAAAATGAAGCCCGGTGGAAGTGTTAAGATGCCAAGCATTCATAATTGGGAGCCCTGGGCGTCTGGTCCCACAGCAAACAGCCAGGCCAACCATCAGCCTTCCTAAACAGGGAATAGAGACCCTTTCCTTGTCTCTTTAGAAGGAACTGGGAAGAAGTCTACAGAAGCACACACAACTTTAATCTGTTCATTCCCTCTACGTCAGTGCTTCTCGTCCTTCCTAAAGCCACGACTCTTTAATACAGTTCCTCGTGTTGTGGTGACCGCCCCCGCATAAAATTCTTTTCATTGCTACTTCATCACTGTCATTTTGCTACTGTTATGAATCGGGCAACCCCTGTGAAAGGGTCTTTCAACTCCCAAAGAGGTCACAACCCACAGGTTGAGAACCACTGCTCTAAGTTGCGTTTGCAAATATCAATCTGCAGACAATTATAAATGTGACGGGTAATTTTCTTGTCCTGCTCATTTCCTCTTCCTTGTGAAAGTCAAGAGGCAAGAGGAAAAGCATTTTCACTAAAGGCTGTGCCTGGAGCTCCCAGTGCCGTGCTGTAGTCTGGCCATCACTGACCACGTCTGCCCTCAGACGCTTAGCAGGCTCCCTCTGCCAGGTTTGCTTCCGAAAGCCAGACAGGCTGTCTTCCTCCCATGTGGCCTTGGCTGTGCGGAGCTATCTTCAGACCACGGTTAGATGGAAGAATTAGTACTTGTCATCTGAGACTCATCTTGGTTTCCAACTGTAGACATTACTATTTGTATACGACATTTACCTTTGGAAGTGGTTTATTTTTTTAGTCTACTTTCGATAACTCTAATATATATGTACATTTATAAATACAATATATATGTCTATTTGTATATGCAGTTTAATGATGATTCGTGTGTAAAAGGCCTAATGACTAAAACATGGGTTCTTCCTACCCAGCGTCCTTAGACTTTTAGAAATGCTGTTGAACACACAGCATATGTGGTGTTCTGATGCATTTGTTCCGCTCAATCATGTACCTAAGCTTTTGTCAAAGTGTTCTGTTTGGTTTTAATGAAGAGAAAAAGGTTGAAAATAGATGTTAGACAGTTGGAATATCCCACAGGAAAACCCATGAGAAATGTTATCTTTATTCTAAAGATTTTATACATAAAGCCCCATCTTTCCCTCCTACTTTCTAAAGAACCTGAATTTTTCCAATCTTGTTGAGATATTCATTTATCTGCAAGAAAATTTACCCATTTGCAATGTACAGCTTGAAACACTTTTGAAAGTATATGCTGTGAGGTAACCCCCACCGCAATCAAGATATAGGACAGGTAAAGCTACAGAGACCGTGACTGGCTGCAGGATAGTTTCTTGGGTGGGTGTGGGGGGTCGTGGCAGGGAAGACTGGGGGGCGGGGAATGGAATGGCTAGCTGATAACTGAGTTCAGGACAGGCTCCGGGGCAGCTGTAGTGTTGTCTTTTCTAGAATTTCACATAAATGGAATCATACTGTGTGTGGTCTTCTGGGCTAGGCTTCCTTTGCTTGGTGTGATGTTCAAAAATGTCTTCTTTTTGCCTGTCTGTGTGTATCAACATTTTCTTTTCTTTTTTTTTGAAAACGTGATTTAAATGAACAAAAAATAGCTCCCTAACCCCATGAGAATGAAATGCTTTTCTTTTTAAACGTTAGCTTTGTCAGAAGTAGAGCTATAACTCGTGTTGTGGAGACTTAGAGTAACCTGGGTAAGGCAAACATTTTTGTTGAAATTGACAAAACTCGGAAAGGTGCTGCCTTTCGGATGGTCATTTGAACGTGTGGTTATGGAGCTGACTCGCTCCTACTTCTAGTGGCCCGTCCTGGCTTTGACTCCTGGCAACCCCAGGTCTGATACAATGCAGCATCGCCTGGTCCGGGGCCACTGACCACTATCCCCACAGAGAAACAAACAAGTTATTCACACCCAAGACCATGTGTGGGTAAACCCAGAATTCCGAAACCTTTGGATCGTTTTTGACCACTGATAACTTACATGATGGCTTTTGCTAGACTATGCAAGGCAAATTATAGCCACTTTCATTTGTTTCTAGTGAATGCTAGTCAATAAAGGATATAAAAGCAAATAGTGTAATTAATAACATTCTTCAGTATGAAATCCAGCAAAGGATATTTTTAGTTAATCTAAGAAAAAAATGAATTTCTGCCTTTTCTTTTCACATTGTACAGTTATACGCTTTTTCTCCACAAAGGTTTGTTCTTTTCAGCTTTAAATAATGACTTTCTGAGTTATATATCAACAAAGCTGTTTTTTTAATATCTTAATAATTGAAATGAAAGGTGGACACAGCTTATCTTACTGGACCTGAACAAAACCCTGATAGCTAAGTATTTTCTTCCCGTTACACAGATAAGAAAACTAAGACTATTGAGGGTAAATGATTTTTGTTCAAGCGCTTACCGCTGGGAAGTACCAGAAATGCCCCCACTGATTGCGGTCAAGATTGCACCTAGCTTCAAAGGCCAGGTTTTACGTTTGTTTTAACTGAAATTTTCAATTGACAGTGCTAGGTTTTTCTTTTGTCCTTTTCTTTTGAGCGGTAGTTCTCATCAGTTTTACCCTTTCTTACGCATTTCTTCTAAGTCAGTGGTTCTCCAAGTATGGTCCCCAGACCAGAAGCATTGGGATCACCGGGGAGCTCATGAGAAATGCAAATTCCTCAACCCCACATAAATCTGCTCAATCCATTTCTGGGCACTGTGCCCAGCTCTGTGTGATATAACAAACTAATGCTGAGGAAAGGTTGAGAACCACTGCTGAAAGGTGAGGTTATAAAGACCATTTCTCCTTTGTATGTAAGAGATTACTGTGCTTCGTGCTCCCAAGTTTATCTGTGATCACAGAGAAACTGTTCATGGTTTGGCTCAGATATAATCTAACACTGCTTCCTTCCATTCATTTTCAGACAATATTGCTGTTGACATAGTTATTTTTTAAATGTTTCTGCTTTATAGATCTGGGAGATTTAAGTACAATACTAAAGGAAGCTTACCAGAGAGATAAGAAAAAGAAGAAATGTGTAAAGATGGCAACAGGGCATTATCACTAGGTAAAATTAGAAGTGTAATTTATCCAAGTGAGAGCAGCACAATGGTACAAGGCATGTCTGATTAACACTGCCAGCTACTGAGCCAGAATACTGTTCTATGACACTGTAGCTCACATGAAGGGCCAGAAGTGGGAACTAGAAGATATGTGTTTCTAACCGAGGAATACTGAATACATAGACCAGAAATATTTCTATCGTGTGATCTCATAAACACATTCACAGTTGCAAGTACATGCATAAATCTTTGACAAACTGAAACCCAGGCTGCCATACCCAACGTACCTACAAACTTTGGCTCAGAATTTTGACTGTAAATTGAATTTTACAGCGTATGACATTACTACATTCTGATAAAATCTTACCTTTGCTCCCTAAAAGTCATGAAGCTATACAATTGCCTGTGTAAATTAGATACAAAGCAAAAGCACCTATTTATTATTTAAATTGGGTGATTTAAATAGTTTTGAACCTACTTTCTATAAGCATATGCAACTCACTGCCCTCAAGTTGATTCCGACTCAGAGAGACCCTGTAGGGCAGGATGGAATTGCCCCTGTGGGTTTCCAAGGCTATAAATCTCTGGAGTAGAAACCCTCATCTTTCTCCCATGGAGGGGCTGGTGGTTTTGAACTGCTGACATGGTGGTTAGCCGCCCAATGCATAACCACTATGCCACCAGGGCTCCTAGTAAACACAAAAGCACACAGACACTTCAGAAACCTTGATGAAAAGCTAAATTCTGTCTTGAGTTTAGTAAGTGTTCATATGCCTCAGGATGAAACTTCCTAGGAGAACCCAAGGGTCAATTTTGGTAATTAATATCTCATAATAAACGATGGTCTATATTTATGTAGTATTTCACTCTATCAAAATGTTCAGGCATTTTAACATCATTTCCTTCCTTGGGAAAAAAAAAACCTACAAATAAGCAAGGCAAGTGATTTCCCATTAAGAAAACTAAGGCAAAGAGAGGCTACATGCCTAAGTGGGAAGCAAATCCATGGCTGAGCTGGGATCAAAAGCTAGTTTTCCCTCACTCTGCAGCAAGCCTACTCTCCTCAGACCACACTCTCTCCATATGTTCAGACCCTGCATCTTTTAAAATGCTGCATATCTAATGAATTCAATTCAGGGAGTGTGTAGGATGTCTCTGTTTGGGTCATTGATGACACTGGCCAGCACACATTTTGGTGCCTCAAAATGTTAGATTTGTTTCTGGGTTTATGTGACCTGCTGGTTCAAAAAACCACACCAGTTTTCACCTATCAGCTCTAGTTTTTGTGATCAGAACATATGCCATATACCCTTCTTTACTCTGCTTGCCCATGAAGTCATCAGGCTATTGTGATGTAGTGTTAGGGAGAGGAAGGGTGCCCTGACTTGACTTAAAGTACGTTGTGTTGTACCAAATAGTTCTGTCAAGTTATACTTCGCATGGTGTCCTTGTATCCAAAGATATCTGTGAACAGTGCAAATAACCTGAACTTGGGATTTTCTCCAGGTTTCATTTCACCTTTCCTAGGAACTAAATAGCAGGCAATTCCAATGTGTTATCTTAGAAAGGGCCCAGACATCAGTTACCGTACAGGAAAGATGGCTCCCCGAGGATGTAGTGTTTGAGTGCTAACCACAGGTCGGCTGTTTGAGCCCACCAGCTGCTCTGCACGAGGAAGATGAGACTCTGCTCCCATGAAGATGTGCAGCCTCAGCAACACACCGGAGACGTCCCATTCTGTCCCCCAGGGTTGCGATGCGTTGTCAGTGACTGGCTGGTAGTGAGCTTGGTACAACAAATAGAGGTTCATGTGTTCTGAAAGCCAAAACGGGGTTCAAACTCCTTTATTAAAATTAAAGTGTTCCAGTCTTGGTATAAGATGGTACAACTTCCCCACCTGTGCACAGAAACTCTGTTTTAAAAGTTAGAATTTTTTTAATGAAGACGCTTGCAGTCAACCTCATCTCTGAAACACTGAACATGACTTATCCATTGACTTCTATATAATTAAAATGTGTTCTGAAATGCTTACTGAATCATTTAAGGAAGAAAATTTTAGATCTTCAAATTATGGATGAAAATTGATACGAAGTCTTACATCTTCGACACTCTCAATTGCCCTCACACCTTTCATATAGGTGCCTTTTAACGTTTATGTTTTACTTTCCACTCTTCTCAAGCCGTGTTCTAGCTTTGCAGTGTCCCTCTGGCAGTCTCTGTATGTATTTCACAGCCTTCCAGACCCAACAGAAAAACTTGCTGCCATCAAATCTATTCTAACTCGTAGCAATCCTTTAGGACAGAGAAGAACTGCCCATTTGAGTTTCCAAATCTTTTAAAGGCTGCAGAGTGACTGATGGATTCAAACCACGGACCATAGGATTGACAGCTCAATAGGAAACCAACAAGCCACCATCGGTCCATACACAGCTTCCCTTGCAATTCCCATGACACCGAACTCTTTTCCAAATATTTCTTACCTTGTTTGTCTTATTCTATAATTCATGGGTGTGAATTCTTCTCCTCTTTAAAAGTAGGAATGATAAATTAGTAAGTGAGCAAAACGGCACAGCTGAAACTATAGAGGAACACCATAGCTAAGAAGCCAGAGCCATGGCAGTCTGTCCAATACAATTTTCTGAATCAGTGCCCCAAATAACCCCAGGAGCAGGCCTAAAACCAAGACAGCAAGGAAAAAAAATTGCTACTGGGCTATGTTATATTTACTGTTTTTAAGCACTTTGGAATGCTAACAGAGAAATGAGACATTCCTTTAATTAATCTCTACCCCTCTCTTGTCTTTCTAGGTACCACAGCTTTGTACTTGTTCCTGGTCATGCATCCTTCCATCCTTAGTAACTCCCCCAGCCCCAAAACCTTTGAGGAGGTACAGTTCTTTAATAGAAATAACTACCACAGGGGGATTGATTGGTAAGATGGGTTATTAGTATAAATCTAAAAGTATATGTACTGTACACAGAATAAAATTAGCACTAAGATTCATAAACATATGTGTATACCACAAATAAAACTGTCCTCTGTATCATGGTAAATCGAATGACTGTCACGAGCAATCACAGAAGGTGTTCCTAACAGGTGCTGCTCAGTTCTTAAGGGACTTTTTGACTCAAGAGTTCCATATGTGCTTTCAATTGGCATCCGTAATTTTTCCTTTCAGCTACAGATATGAAGCCAGAGAAATGCCTGATGGCCCAACCATTTCACTTCTCTCCATTTCCAGGAAAGTGCTTTCGTGTTTTCTTCTTGTGCACTTGGCATAAATGTGGCTCTAGCTCACACGTATAATGTTTCCTTTGTTGTTTTGGCCTAACAGGTTGTAAATGAATAAATAACTAGAGCCAGAATATGTGTCTCAGTCATGAGCAATAAAAGCTAAATAACTAATAAAAAGAAAATAAAAGCTAAAGACGATCATTGATATAAGAAATTTAATATTTCCCCTTTGAATTAAAAGTAGAAATACGCCAAACATCTGAGGGAAATTTAAAAAAATAAGTAAGTCCACTGCCATCAAGTCAATTTTGACTCAAGGTGACCCGATAGGACTTGGTAAAACTGCCCCTGTGGGTTTCCAAGACTGAAACTCTTTACAGGGGCAGAGAGCCTCATCTTTCTCCCCATACGTGCAAGTGGTGTTGAACTTCTGACCTTGAGGAATGCTAAAATGTCACATAACATAAAATATAGCAATATAATAGAAACAGATGGTTCAAACTATCATTTGAATTATAAAATGCCTTGAATCATAAAATCATTTAGCTGCCTTGCTACCTAAAGGATCATGTTGGGCAGGAAATGGCATAATACAGTGGAGTAGCTATTATAATTCTGAACTTACACTTTCCGTGTGTGTTATTATAAAGAATTGTTTACTAACGTGTCTTATCAGATTATATGATCTCAACTCTTTAAATGTCACCTCCCTCAAAGCTGATCAATGGAAAGGTGAATGGATTAAGCATCATTGGCCACCTGCTAGAATTCACATAATATTCCAGTTATCGTATTTCCAGTTTGACTCTTCTGTACAGTCATTGATATTGCTTAATCATGTAATGTCAAACAACAGCCAGGAGAATCATGAAACCATCCAGCATTCACAGCTGTTTGACCAACAACTCAACCATGTAGCTGTATAAGCCACAGAATGCCATAGTTTTGATGTAAGAACCACAGAGAGTGTTGAAAGCCTGCGTTGGAGGTGGACTCACAGTGGCCCTAGCCCACAGAGTAGACCAGCCCCTGTGGGCTTCAACTCTATGGGAGTCGAACGTCTGATGAAAAACAGGTCCAGAGGCGAACTCATAGTGACCCTCCAGGACAAGGTCGACCTGCCCCTGAGGGTGTCTGAGACTACCTCTGTCTGAGAATAGAAAACCTCATCTTTCTCCCTTGGAGCAGCCCGGGGTTTCAAATTTGCCATGTGGTCACCAGGAGTCAGAACTGACTTGATGGCAGCTGGTTTGAGTAGGAACCCAAACCCTACCTGCTATGCCCCCTGTGAGTCGGCGTCAGTGTGATGAGATTGAGCTTCAGTTTTTATTTGGAGTTGAAGGAGAATCCAATCCTTGGAGTCCCTGGATGAAGAATACTCACATGAATAACCTTTAAAGGTGGGGAAAGCCGACCATAGACCAGTGTGTACTGAAGTTCCTTCCCCTCAATTAGTTTTTGACAGTAGGTGGCATAAACAAGGAGAAAGCTAAAGAACAATTAAATCATTTAATCATAAACATCTCAAATACAAGTACGTTTGATTGACAGTGTGTGGTTATAAAAGGCAATTAACATGTATAACAAATGATAGTAACGGCAAATGCTATCCTGTGGGCAGAACTAAGCCATTTCGGTCAATGAAATCAAATGCACTCTGTCGTCAGCTAGCTGTGTCCCTCTATGAAGTGCCACAACCTCAGTAGTCCCTTTGGGCCATAACAGCAGAAGAGTGAAGACTTGAGTTTTTCAGAGGCCAAAGTCACCTCCAGAATTGGCCCAGGCCCAGGGGCTCATCTCGATGCATGGATCTGTTCTCCTTGGAGAATTGGGTATCAGGAGGGCGTGCATTAACCAATAGGAAGCCTGACCACAGGTTTTGGTAGTAAGCAAAAGAGGGCAATTAAAGTGAGATATGTTTCTCTTTGATACAATTGTCAAGATTTTTGATCAGAAGATTTGAGGTACAAAAATATTGTGTTTTAAAACATATATGAGCTTTATGCTTATGGTTAGGTTATATTTTTTTGGTCAATTATATGGGCATGCAATGGAAGGTTGGAATGGTGCATAGAGGACCATACAATTTTTATTTTTTTTTAGCATTTAGAACAACAATCATCTTAAGCCGACTTTTTGAAAAATCACTAAGAAATTTTCAGGAGCCATCCAAGCAATAAATAGATGTAGAATATTGTTTAGTAGCACTTCTTTCAATCTTTCTGGTTAAAAAGAAAAAGAAATGCTGAGTTGTGTCTCACAGAAATGGCAAAGCTTAAGTTTATACAGGAACTTTTTTTAGCCTCCTAATTCCTAAAATACTTTTGTTTTCTCTCCAATTCTTTGAATACTTGAGCGCATAGTCTCCAATTTTGGATATACTTGGGGGACGTTCCTGGACTACCCTGGAAATCTGATCCTCGAATCCTCTTAGTTACTGGTTATCCATCAACACTTTTGGTATCGCTACGTGCCAGTCAGTGGCCTAGAACAATGTGGGCATATGTATCGGCGAACAAAGACTGGACCCCGCCTTCTCCAGGACCCTCTGCCCCCCAAAAGAATCAAGAGGCTGTTAGCTCAAGGTCCAGAACTGTGTGAGGGGTTTTCCTAGACTTAAGCTCTCCCACGGACAGAGCACGGCAACTGCAAAGGGGGTGGGGAAATGTTCAGAAGGTGAAAATGATCGGATGCCAGCCCCTTCCCCTTCTTTGGGATTTCGGGTACCTTTTTCTGAACAAACATGCTTGCAACAAGACAAGCTTGCAAGACCACTAGACATTTGGGATAACCTAAAACCAAGGTGGACATCTGTATGAGCCACAGCCTGCGATGTGGCACTTTCTGTAATTAAGCTCCCCAAACAGAGAGTCGATCAAAATTTCCAGAAATTGTTGTGTCTCTCTTTCCCCACAAAAGGAAGCCAAAACAACACATTGTCAACAAGGCAATTTACAGAAAACATAAAACCATTTCTTTACTGCTCAGAGTCTCAAGACATCACTTTGTTGTATCAAGCAAACTTTGCAATATGTTAACAGCTGGAATCCTACCAGAAGCTTTATCGTGTGAGATAACTAAAAGAAAACCAACAGACTGTAAAAAGAAGTCAACACAGAAATGCTAACGACGCTTTTGTGCTGTAATTAGTGGACTACTGGTCATGGTGGCATACAGGCGTGGATGTTTGTGAATTGAAGGGGGGGCTGATGACCTAGGACATGAGCTCTTAGTAGGAAGTACAAAAGGTCTTGGAAAGTAAATGCATATGTTCTCTCTGCAAAGGCTCCTTTTCCTGGAGAAAGAGTCCCTTGGTGCATCTGAAACATTTACTACCATATGCTAAATGAGTTAGGGCTGACAATGGTTGTCCAGGTGGAACATTAAACAAAATCTGTGTCTCTTTCATTTCAGACTTTGAGCATCCAGGTTATTCTTGTGTTCACTCTGCTAATGTTTTAAATTCTCACCTCACTTAACGATAATTGGACTTGACCTTAGGAAATTTGATAGGATTCTCGGAAATATTTCTGCATTCTTAATTTTTTCTAATTATCATTCTAAAAGGGAAGTGAGTGGTTAGGAATGCGAAGAAAAATTAAGCAGCTAGACAATGTTTTCACCAGAGCTATTCTGCACTTCGAAAGCTTGATGGTTACCGATAACATCAGCACGTCCCATTGATGAAAATGGAAACTACTTGAGATGAAGTCCAGAATGTTTTGTCGGCCGCCTTTTAAGACACCTTTGAACTTAGCACGTCATCTGTCTTTATCAAATTTTCTTTGTGGTCGGCCATTGACAATTTCCACACCTAGATCCATTTGATATAATCAGGTCATTGTTCTTGTTTTGCCACTGTGTCTACATTCTTTGTTCTCTATCTCTCCTTTGCCCCTCATCATGTTAAGCAAAACAATCAAACAAAAGAGTATTTAGGAAAGCATCTTTAAAATACATATTAACATTCTGGAGACTTCTCTCTTAAATGCCTTAAAGAAAGAAGGTGTTGTTTAGAAATGAATGGGTGGGATACCTTTAACATCTTCACTCACCAGGACAAGATTGAAAACCACTCTTATTTTGAGAAAACTGTTCCTTTTCTAGGTATATGGATTTCTTCCCAATCCCGTCTAATGTCACCAGTGATTTTCTGTTTGAGAAGAGTGCCAATTACTTCCACTCAGAGGACGCTCCTAAAAGAGCTGCTTCTCTGGTCCCCAAAGCCAAGATCATCACCATCCTCATTGATCCATCAGACCGAGCATACTCCTGGTACCAGGTAAGGAAAATGCAGACAGAACCCAGCAGGTAGAAAGGCTTATATAAAAAGAGAATCGGAGAATAAAGGATGGCTTTTAGGCTATAACCACATCCCCAGCACTGTAACAGCTCAAAAGGTCTGTTAGCTGTTCAGGAACTACAGAAAAATGGATGAACTTGTCTTTGTTTCTATGGAGTATGTAATTGCGCTTTTTTCTCAGTGCAATGAAGAAAGTAAGCTAAAATATGATCAATAAAACTGTATGTGATCAATAAAACACATCAACATTCTTAAGGTAAAATATTGTAATAAATTGAAACCCTAGCTCTTTATCCAACACATGGGGCTACCATCATTATCTCAGTTTGACAGATCACGAGGCTGATCGATTCTCTAAAACAGTAGGGAACAAACTTATTTTCTCTAAGATCCAGATCACCGCTACTTTTAGGGTTTGTGCCATTCAGTCTCTGGGACAGCTCTGCGGCCGGAACAAGAAAGCAGCCTCAGACAATAGTATTCATGACTACGCGTGGCTGTGTTCCCATGAAACTTGATCTTCAAAAGCAGGCAGCAAACTGAGTTTGGAACGCAGGTGATCATTTTCCAACCCCGTTATTAGCTGCCATCAATCCGGTGACCTCATGCACATCAAAACAAAATGCTGTCCAGTTCCCCAGGATCCCCTGCAGATCAGAGCACTGGTAGGCACCAGAGCTACACTGTCTGCTTTTCAGAAGTAGATCACCAGACCTTTCTTCCCAGCCCTAAGGAAACTTCTTGGCATGTTCTAAATGAACTCCTGTAGCGCAATGATTAAGCGCTTGACTCTGCAGAAACCCACCAGCTACTCCGCTGAGAAAAGATCTAGCAGCCCACCAAGAGACAGCCTAGCAAACCCCATGAGGCAGTCTACTCAGCACTCGCTAGGGGTCAGAATCAGCAAAACGATAAAAACTGAAGAAACAACGTAATGACAAAGCTAAGTAAGTACCTGAATGCAAAAAAAAGATGATCTAATTTATAAACCCTTACCAGATTCATAATAAAAAAATTCCCAAATCAAGATATATTTTTAAAAGCTAAATATAAGAATCCTTCATCCGCCTCTTTCTTAAACATTCGTGGGCACTATGCTTTTGATTAGAAAGTATTATGGAGACAAGAATTGTGAAAGAATTTAGGAGCCCTGGTAGTATAGTAGATTACAATTTAGGCTACTGATGCAAGGTCAGCAGTTCGAAACTACCAGCTGCTCCACAGGAGAAAGATTAGACTTTCTACTCCTATCAAGATTTACAATCTCAGAAACCTGAAGGGGCAATTGTACCCTGTCCTATAGGGTCACTATGAATCAGAAGTGACTCGATGGTAGTGAGTTAAGTAAGTAACTTGACACCATTAAAAATAATGCCAAATTAAAAAAAAACAATTCTGTATCCATGATGTTTCTTATTACTAAATGGAAAATCTCAACTAAAAGTGGCCAAATGAAAGCATCACCAAAGTGGAGTAGGCGGTTGTAATCGCTCAGACCCTTCATTATTAGTATTGTAATATCAAACCTGTGTTTGATTACAAACGCGCATGTGTTCATCCATTCATTAAATCTTTGTAATGCTACCCACTCACCCTGGGTGCTACACATTGTCAGCAAGCTGAGTCATTCACAAAAAGATCTGCAGCTTGAATTCACCCAGAGATATCTTGTAAGAAAGGCATGGAGCTTGACTTCTGAAAGACCAGCCACGGGGAGAGCCTATGGACCTCAGTTCTACTCTATGCATGGGGGCCCCATGCATTGAAAAGGACTTAGTGGTAACTGGGTTTTGATGTGCAAAGTACTGTTGGAAGATAAATTCGGGTGCTTCTTTCAAATGCGGATGCTACTTTGGGGGAAATATGTATAAACAGCCAGCATGCAAGTTGAGTAGGGATCACTGACCCGTGAGATACAGACTCTGTTACGGGAGTTCCAAGTGATAGCGTCCCTCTGATAATGCCTACCGGAAAAGTCCCGTCTGTTCACTGACTGCCCCAGGGAAGCCCACCTACCGGAGGAGCCAGCAGTTTCCTTCAAGGAAAGAAGCAGCGACAGGATTATCATAAGATGTGTAAGGGAAGAAATGTCGGCAAGATTAAAATGAATGGGATGTTCTGAGAGGCACAAAGCAGGGCTCGGTGGAAAGGGGTTATCAGCAGGCCAGGAATGAAAAGTCGATGATGGGCCCTATTTCCTAGAAAACTCTCAAGTTAAGATAAAATACAGAATGTTGGGTCCCTAAGCCCCTTATCAGATACTTCGCACCTGGTTGGAAATTACTACTGCTTCTTTGTTAGAGAGGTCCTTGTGGCTAAGATCCTTCAGGCAAAAGTGGGATGCTATGTTTTCACTGATACTATTTCCATCAACCAAGTCCCTGTGCACCTTTGATTCTAGTGTCAGGTCTCCCAGCCCTGAGTCCTTCTCTTATTGACCAGAAGCAGTTTTGCAGGTCTACAAGGGGAGGAAGAAACTGTCAGGGACCCCTTCACGAGGCACATGGAATCGTAAATAGACATATCGATAATAATCTGCATCATAGGAAGTGGAGACACCTTGAGAAGCTAAAATTCATTAAAACTCACAATGCCCTGAGAATCATTCATGCCAAACTACTTGATCCGTGTTTTTTAAAAAAAAAAAAAATCCACAGCAATTGCAAATTGACTGATTTGATTTCGAACCTTTCACTTCTTTCCACCAGGTATCTGGAGGAAAGAAAAATAAGCCTTAATTGACTCAAAGAGAAAGAAGAAAATTGAAACTTGGCAACCACTTAGCTCCTGAAAAATTGAGAATTTAGTGAGACAGGAAGTCTCAAAGCTGCAAGCTAACAAAACGTCCTCAATATTGCGAATAAATGACTCTGCGGTGGCAAAATGCAAGCCTTAACAAATTCCAGTCGAGTTTGTAGTACGCTAATTTGAACCCCAATTGCAGCCGACATGCTATTCAACTAGATGAGGGCAAACATTCACAAGTCCACCAGTAAGCCTGAATATTTATAGGTCAATTTAAGGAAAAGGTGATTTCCTCAAACCCATGGGCCTGAGCCTGGGCCATTAGGAAACACTTTCCTATTTTGATTACCGCTTTCTGCATTTTCTGCACAATAAATGATTCTGACTCACCACAAAGGTTACCATTAGATAAGATAATATTGGCTTTTAGATGCTAGGTAATATATGATAAAAGCTGTGAATTTCAGATAATGTGCATGTCAGAGTTTCCAGTAGTTTCTCCATTTAAATTAGCCACTAGAGCTTTTCTAATCTAAACCACATTCCCGGATGGAGCACGACTGTTTGGCACTCCAATAGAGTGTTGTGCACCATGGATAGTCACCAGACTTGATAAATGGCCAACTTACAGGCTGAAAGGGGGACATTAATGGAGGTTCAAAAGTTTACTTCCAGAGTAAAATATGTACACTAAGGAAATGGCTCCAAAAAGTTAGCTAAAACATCCTATTTATGAGATTTCAGCATCTACAAAATAAGTTCTCAAAAATCTTCTCTCAGCAGTGTCATAACTTCCGATCCTGATGCTCGGAGCAAGCCAGCTCATCCTTTATTAATTGCCAAACAAGGAAATCTCCAGCAGCGAGGTGTCCTTTCTTGAGCTTGGAGACTTGTCACCAGGAATGATTTTTAATTATTTATGCCTGTGGTTCCAGTTCGTGTAACGATCCACCCTTTCGTCGTAGCATCAGCGATCGCATGAAGACCCTGCGGCTCTGAAGTTTAGCTTCTACGAAGTCATCTCAGCGGGAGCCCACGCCCCCTCCGAGCTGAGAGCCTTGCAGAAGAGATGTTTGGTCCCCGGGTGGTACGCCAGCCACCTCGAGAGATGGCTTGTTTATTTCCCTCCCTTCCAGGTATGCGCAATAAGCATGTACACCATGTTACAATCTCATTTGGTTGATGACTGCCTCGGGGAGAGAGGACATTTTCACTCAGTGAAACATTACAGGCTTTTACTCTTGATTTGTAAATAATGAGACTGTGGCAAAGACTAGCAGATAAGCAGAGGTAGCGAGCTGTTCCACTTTCTTTTCTAAGTGTATTTCAGGATGATTCTCCTTGCTTTGTTTTCTAGCCTATATTTCCTGGTTGTCAAATGCTTCTGAGCCTTGATTCTTATTCTGGAAAGAAGAAAGTCTCAGACCCTCTTAACCAAACAAGACAAGTCTTACTTGGCTTAATCCAGTAGCATTATTTTCCTTTTAAGGAGCCCTGGTGGCGTGGTGGGTTAGGCACTGGGCTGCTAATTTCAAGGTCAACAGTTCAAAACCACCAGCTACTTAGAGGGAAACCTAAGATGATGCTTTCTACTCCCATAAGGTTTTAGGTGTCTTGGAAACCCACAAGGGCAGTTCCACTCTGTCAGAATCTACTGGAAGGCAGTTAGCTTTATTTTTCTCTGGAGCCATCACATTCCATGTTTCATAAGTTCTGTGTTTTCTCATGACTTCCTTCTTCTTCCGATTGGTGTGGCATCAACCTAGATTATAAAGCTCGCTCCAGCGGTGGATTGCATGAGCCGTCCAATCACACCAGACTCTCTAGACCTGTGGTTCTCCACCTTCCTTGTGCTGCAACCCTTTCATACAGCTCATGTTGTGGTGAAACCGCCCCCACAACCATAAAATTATGTTCGTTGCTACTTCCTTCATTGTCATTTTGCTACTATTATGAATTGGGCGACCCCTGTGAAAGGGTTGTTCGACCCCCAAGGGGTCATGACCCACAGGTTGAGAACCGCTGCTCTAGACCCACACGGTTGAAGATGATAACCACTAAGCACATACCCACTTTCATCATAGTGACCTCATAAAGGCTTTGCAAGGCTGTCAATCTCTTAGAGAATAAACAGACTCATCTTTCTCCCACAACGTGACAGTGGGGTTTGAACTGCCCACCTCCTAGTGACAATTCATACCCAAAAGTGACACCGGGGTCCTAGTAACCACCTAAGGGGCATTCTTTTCTATTATTATTATTACTTATAAATGGAATTGTAAATTCCAGTTGTCACATTAGTCACATTTCAAATGTTCGACAGCCACATAGCAGACAGCCCAAGTGTCGACCGTGACTGTCCTTGCCGCCTAGACAGTGCTGCTGCACACTAAATGGACGTCTGTCCTCACTAAGAGACGGGGCAGGTACACTGTCACCTTTCTGACTCACCACCAGTGTGCCCCGTCATCTCTTCTTGCTGGATCGACTCCTCTCCCTCAGCAGAGGGAGTAACAAGGAAATACTTCTCCCTCGTCCACTGAGAAAAGTCTGCCCTCACTCAGATTCTCTACCTGCCTCTCCAAACAGATCATCCAGGTCCCTCTGAAAGGTTTGCAGAGCCACTCCTGAAGGCACTATGACGCATGGCCTGTCCTCCATCTCACGACACCTGGACCTAGGTCACACTTCCTTCCTTTCTGCTGTATTCCATTCCTGCTTGAATGGTGGCATCTTTATTCACGGGTGATTTCCATTTGTGATTTTTATTTTTTTGCTTTGGCCATTTTTAGACAATGTGACAGAGGTATCATTTCCATAATATAATGCTCGGTCACTTTGAGAGTTTGAGTTGTAAATGTATACACTTGTGCAGGCACTTCCCCAACCCGGTGTTCACCACCCGTCACCCCATAAGTCCTCTCAAATACTTAACTTCTCAAATCCTGTCAACTTCTCAAAGAAGCAGAACAAACAGAAATTCAGTTCTTCCCTGGGGCATCTGCCTCAAAGTTAAACAGGTTGCTGTTCATGAACCGGTAAGTACCTCCTGAAACGCTTTTCTTTCTAGAACGCTCAGAGATAAATCAATATTTACTTCAGGAATTTCAGGTTCTTTGCCCGACATCACTAAGACTGATTATTTCCTTGATAGAAAGCAAATCTAGGTGCCAAATCCTTCTTTGCTAGCTCTGAAAGGGATGTCAGAATTACATTTAAGGTCATGGCTTCATTCAAATCTTTATTTTACCTCTAAAACCAACCCTAGCTTCTAATGACTTCTGTAAAGACATAGAAGAAAATGAAGAATGAGTTTAAAATGGGATGGGACATTAGCAGGCGGTCACCTTTTCTGCTTCCTGCTACTTTTTGTTGTTTTTGCTAGCTGGTACTGTGGCAGCCCTCCACACGATGGACGGTAGTGCCCAGTCGCTCACCAGCCTCATGATTGGCTGGGGGTTGAACAACTGTGGTGAAGAGGGGTTTCACTGGCTGATATGCTGACGTGCCTTCTTAATCTCATGGAGACTGAGACTCCATCCTCATGACAGATGTTTCATTCCATTGGTGATTTTCCTAGTCACATTTCTAAGCTCCCCTGGTCCCTTTCAAATTACTTTTTGTTTTCATGGTTATCGCAGTACCTCGCAGGTCACAAAACAGGGGTTCATTTAATTAAGTGAGGAGGACTGGTTAAGACTAACAGCAATGCATATAAAATCCCCTCCGGACCCCGTGTCTCTCATTGTGTAATTTAGACTACAGAAAATTTTCATTGTGCAGTTAACGTGCACTGTCTTATCTTCCCCCCTTTGGTACTTTAGTTGCTAATTATCGATGGGCAGCAGCTAAGGACTGACCCAGCTCCAGTGATGGAGGAAGTACAGAAGTTTCTGGGAGTGTCTCCTCATTATAATTACTCTGAAGCTTTAACGTAAGTTCATTTTTCAAATAATTGATCCAAGTTTCAACAGAGAACTGAAGTATTGCTGTCGTAGTTTTATGATACCGTTGGCAAGCTATTTGTATTCCTGTTTTGCTCGGTGCCACTGAGTTGCTATTTGACCCCTTTCTCCCTGTGTGAGAGGATATAATGGCCCTCTTGGGTTTTCTACCATGTAATATTTAGAGTCTGATTTCTAGGTCTTCCCCCCATGTAGCCAGCCAGAGGGGCCAAACCACTGACATGTCTAGTAACAGCGCTTACCTGCTGCACTATCTGGGATCCTACCTGGTTCTTCACATACTACTTATTTTCAAGTCTGACGCTGGCACTTGGGGAAGAATGTTTCAGTGGTATGACAAAGAAATATGATAAATACTCTGCTGATTCCTAACTCTGCTCTGGGGCCATTTCCTGACCAGGTGACACAGATTTTCATGGCAGGTAATTATGTGGAAAAAAACATTGGTAAATCTTAAATCCAACAGCTAACCCTAAAAAAGACTACCTGAAATATATAAATGGATCATCTACCGAAAAAAAGGAGAATAAAGCCTCTTTAAGTGTAATAACTATTCCGGTGGTTTACAAATCTATTCCTTTCTCCACTGTGCAATTTCCAGAAATAACATCATATAATAAGAAGTTACCCCACCGGCAATTAGCTAGGTAAACACAACTGTGCTGTAATGATCTCACTTACTCTTCAGAGGTCTCGGCGTGACAGGTCCTCTGATTTTCTTACATACTTAACTAGACCAGAACCAAAGCTAGGCTGAGAGGAGAGGCCCAGGACTCCTCTCAGGGACGGTCATTTGTTAAGTGGAAGCTCTCACTTCTATCCCGGGTGCCTCTCCTGCCTCACCGTAGTCTTGGCATTGGAATCCATTTCATATTTTAAATAAGACCTTCCCTTTTTTGTCCATTTATAATACTTGATCATCAGATTTTTTAGGGTCATGTTTGTATCTCTGGGGGTGTACCTGAACCAACAGGCCGTTACTGAGTTAGATGGGCCATGAATCTGACTCAATACTTACTTTATGATTTTAGACTTACAGACTGAGCTGGAGAGGGGGTGAGTACACTATAGGGTTTGTCCATGGGATTTCTCAGTAGGGAACTCAATTCTGTAGACGGTGGACTCTCCAGCCTCGATACAGTGAGTGGGCAGCAGGTTTCCTTTCCCTCTCAGCCCCCCTTGCTGAAAGATTGTACAAGATTGGCAAGGTCACATCAAACAGTGTGCTGTGTCTTATGCAAATCAGGGATGGAGATGTGTACGTGTGACAGAGACATTGCGCTCCGAAGGACGAAACTGAAGTTGGAAGCTTCTACCCTGAGAGTGCTTTCCTGTGTTGTCTCTGTGAACTCTTCACTCAGAGTACAGTGAGAGCGAATTCAAGTGCCGAGACAGACACTAGTCTTAGGTTTCTAACATTCAGCTTGACCTCGCAGACAGCTGGGTGATTTGAGCTTGCATTTAGAAATTCAAGTCCACTTTCTGATATATAGATATAGATATATAAAAGCTTCTTTAGCGGGGCATGGGGATGGGGCATTTCTTTTCTAAAGTGTTTTCTATCACTACTGGCTTATCATTGGGTCTTTTTTTTTTAATACAGTGTATAGCCACGCATTGTCTGTCAGAAGAAAGAAGTGGCGTGCTCCATACAGACATGATCTTGTTTTTAGCTTCATGGCATGGTCCTTAGCTTACATGCTGTGTATTTGTCCCGTCTGCCTCCTACTCAGCAGCAAGCTTTTTATTCATCCCCACTGCTAAGGGAAAGCAGCGTTAACCTTAACAGAAGTAATATCAGAGCAATGTGCTGTATACAAAGCACTGTGGGTCACTTGGCCCCTGAGAGGTGTCTGGTTAAAGTGACCCATTATATGATTCCCTGTCCCAGTTGGGGGCTCAGTGGGTGAAGTAGCAAGATAAGATAGGTGTAGGCTCTGAAGCCATCATTCCTAGTCTAACAGAGTTGCCCAAGCCCTCACCCTGCTGATAGAGATAGTGCCCTTCCACTGTTTCTTTTTCTATTTCCTTGTCAGTCATCAGTGGGCCTGACATACCTTGTAAAAGCCGGCAGCGCACTTGTAGAAGATTTGACAGGTTCGTGTCATTGTCTTAAGTCTCCAGTGTTCCACCTGGACCCTGTGCCCTTTGTGGTCATTTGTCTGAATCCTGCTCTCATGGTTGAGTCCCTTTTGGTGGAGTAACTTTTTAGATAACTGCTACTTTGAAATGTTGGGAAGGCCAGGACTGCAGAAATACAGAAGTGTGTGCTAGAACTGCCATCTATACCGAGTGGCAAGAGATTGTTTTTCCTGCCAGTAATCATGAAGACTCTCTCTTGTGTACAAAAATTAAAAAGTAATTAATTTTAAACCTTCTAAGAATATATCTGAAATACAAACAGATAGGAATTCTTTTTTCCCCCCCGAACCATACCATCCCAAGGTTCAATCCTATCAAGGAGTGTTGTGCAATAGCTGCCACAATCAGTTTCAAACATTTTCCTCCTTCTTGAACTCCTTGGTATCAGATCTCCCTGCCCCTCCTCCCCCAGCCACACCCCCCTCCCCCGCCCCAAGGAACCATTATTCTAGTTACGGCCCCTATAGATTCACCTGTCCTGGGTTTCACATACTGAAAACACATCGCAGAGTCAAGAAGGCTACCAACAATGACAACATACAACAGAGACAAGCCCTAATCTGATAAAAATATAGAAAATATTAAAAACCAGATCAAGCACAGTGTGTCAAGTAACACGATTGTAACTGTTCAAGTCAGATGTAGCATTTTTATCTACTACAGTCCTCTCTCCAGTACGCTCTGTCTGCTAGCCAGGTTATTTCCATCCCTCAATTATAGTTAGTGGGAAATCAGCAGAGACTTATTCCCTATGTAGATCCTGCAAATGTATTTCTGGCTTCCACTATCATCCATAGCCTTGTGCAAACCAGAATCTCACAATTTAAGCTCTGATACTACTCCCTCTTTCAGATTTGGATTATATAGTTTAAAATTCATGGATCATGGATGTTGGTGTGTGAATATTTGGATTATATAGTTTAAAATTCATGGATCATGGATGTTGGTGTGTGAATTAGACCCAATTGACTAGAGAAATAAATCCAGAGACACTCATATATGTATAAGAGAGAACTGTATATCAAAAAGTAGTTATATGTCAAGAAAACATCCCATCCCAGTCCAACTCAAGCTCTTAAGTCCAAATATAGTCCATAACTCCCTCTTCAGGCTCAAGCAGTCACACGCAATGATGCAGAATGCAGGCAGATCACAAGCCAGTGGGAGCGACATCCTGTGGATCCAATGTCAGTGGAAATTTAGCAGGGCTCCAGCAGCTCTTGGGCTGGCCAGCAAACAGGAAAGTGAAGGCAGAGAAAATTAGCGTAGGTTCCCTGGGCCCTCCTATGAGAAGACCATGCCCACAAGGAGACGTCATCAGGGTGTGAACTTATTGACAAGTTGGAAACCACCCCTACACTTTTACATATTTTCAAGTTAACATAAAATTATGTAACTACCACCGTGTGCTTCTTCCATGTGGCGTTAGTTGGCTTTTCACTTAGATTTCTGCTTGTTTGAAAACAGCCTTTAAGACCCCAGATGCTATTCTTTCTAATAGGCACCACCTAATTTCTTCACCACACTTTGCAGATAGGAGTTTTTAACTAGTTACATAAATCCAGTGTTTTTCAGACAGTAGGATGAATGAATTAAATTAGATCCATACAAAGGTTTTACTATACAATGTGAGTATGAAAGAGTTCTCAAATTTAAGAAATCGATAAGCCACTTATCTTCGGTGTTGCAAATTCCACATAGAAATTACTTTTTAACAAAAATAATAGTAAGTTTCCATTTCCAAGTGTTATTTATTATTTGCACAATCACTAAAGAAAATGTTCAAGACCTCCATATTTCATAGTCACTATATAATCTATGATGACCTTGAAAATGACTTACTGATGTTATCATTAGAGAGTGGCTACAGTATTGAACTCAAACAGAGCAGTGATTATGCAGATAGCACAAGACCAGAGAGCATTGTATTCTATAGCATGAGGGACTTCATGAAAAAAATAGAATGAAAAGATAATGGAAATTTTTTTTCCTGTATACCAGGCCTCTATGAGTTGAAGCTAACTCAACAGCACATAACAGCAAAGTCATCAGGATTTGGAGATATGTAAACTTGGTTGAAGAGAGAGAGCGGTTGGTGTAAGATATGAAAAGAAATAACTGATAATGTATCAAGGAGTCATGAGAGTGGGAGGGGGGAGGGAGGGAGGAAAAAAGAGGAGCTGATATCAAGGGCTCAAAATAGAAAGTAAATGTTTAGAAAATGATGATGGAAACAGATGTACAAATATGCTTGATACAATTGATAATATGGATTGTTATAAGAGCTGTAAGAGGCCCCAATCAAATGATTTTTTTTAAAGGTTGTGAGATATGTAATAGGGTAAGTATAATTTTCTTAGTGAGTTTGAATCTGATTTGACATAAACAGTGTAATCTTCAAACTACATAAATTGGCATATTGCTTTTCTATTTCAACATAGCCAAAATGTCTAAATTGTAAATAGCCTTAATATAATGGAATTGCTGCAGTTTTCATATTACCTGTAATATAGTTTTAAAGCCAACTGATCATTGCACAAAAAGGTAGGAAAAAATAATGCTTAGCAAAGAATGGTGATTTACAAAAACTTTAAAACTTTAGTTTTATCATGAAATGCCGCCTTTAGAACTGTACTTAGCCATCAATGACCATGATACATATCTTCACACTTAGAAATATTAGTGAATTAAATATCTGAATGTGGTATTTTTATCTTTCAGTAAATGAGCCTGTTTTAAATAAATGAAACCAGACTAGTGACATAAAATTTTTAATAATAACTGACACTGAAGTGTCTGTAAATGGACAATGAGTGCTTCAAAGCCA